TAAGCAAAAAGAAACAACAAAATACAAAGCAAAACAAAAAAGAAACCCTAGAAAACACACACACAAATCCAGAAAAAAACCTGAAATAAAAGCCCGAGAACTGTCTTCCAAGGGGGGGTGGGAGGGGGACGAGGAGGGGGCGGAGGAGGACGTCTGGTTCTCGCTGAGACCGGCCGAAATCTGCACGTGTCCACAGTCCAGCGCCCAGGTCTTCCCTTCGATGGCCTCAGTTCCTGCCTCAAGGGATCGGGACCCCGGCGACCATTTACAAGGAGTGGAGTAGGATTAGGGAGGCGGGATTATAATCTGGGGGTGCGTGCCTACCCCCCACTTCCTCCCTCCCCCGGACTCCCCACCAAGATTTTGCAGAGAGAAATGGCTTTTGTACCAGGTCATTCTTTATAATTAAACTCACAGTATCCACCCCCTCGAGCCGACCCCGCCTCCTTCCTGGGAGGTGACGCCCCCTCCCTTCCCTGCACAGTGCGCCTGCGCATCAATGGCGTAGTGCGCAAGTACAGCCGGGGCCCATCCTCCCTTGCGCGTCAATCTTCCTGGGTTGGCTCCGCCCCCAGGGCTTCGAGCATGCGCCGTCGGACCAGTGAGCGGCGCAGGTGCAGGCGGTAGTCACCCAATTGTAGGTCATCGTGGCGAACGAGCTGATGCGCGAGCCCGCGGGGGCTGAGCCCTGAGCGCAGCAGACGCGAACGCGTCTGGAAGTCTGCGACCGTGATGAGCCACCTGCGAGGGGGAACTTGCTGGTGGTCTCAGCCCCGCCGTGGATTGTAACCCTCCCGGTTACTGACCCTGGCTGCTCCGTCCCTAACATACTCTCCAGCCCTGCCCTCTCACGGACGTCAACACGTGCCCGGACCCGCATTTGCGGCTTTCCAGCTCTATCCTCGCGCTCAGTCCGCTTCTGCCCCTTGATCGCCATCTCTCTAGACCCCTCCTTCCTTAGCACACGATGCCCGGACCTTACTAGGCGTCCGGCCCACTCTGGGCCTCATAGCTGCCTTTCCTGGCGCCAAGCCCACTCCTTGCTACTAAGTCGGCTTCCCTACCCGCTCCAGACCCCGCCCCTCAGCGCGGGTTCTCCCACCTTGCCCCTACCAGTGGCTCTCGGCCCCGCGCACTGGCCCTACTGCATCCGGTTCACCTGGCCCCGGCCCTCACACACCAATCACCTGGTCTAGAGACTCTAAGCCACGCCCCCTCACTGCCCGCGCTCCGACTCCGCCCCCAGCGTCACGCCCCTAAGCCCCGCCCCTCCGCGGGGCTCACCGGTGCCTGCGACCCGCGGTCCCGCAGATGACATTCATGTTCTCAAAGCGGATGCTGCTCACACGCCCGGTCTCCATGGCCCCAGGTAACTTGGCCTCTAGCGCCTCCAGAACCTCCAGGTGGGTAAAGTCCTCCTGGGAGTCAGGGAGAGAGCCTCAGAGTCTTGATGCCCTGGCTCAGACGACCCCGCTTTAGACTCCACCCTCAGTAGCTGCCAGAGCCCTAGGTGGCAGCTGAGAGGCAGGAGTCGCCCTTGACCCTAGGGTCGCGGCGACAGGTGTTTCTCAGATGGAAAAACATCGACTGTCTTTCAAAGTCATTCTCCGGGAATTCAGTTCTCACCAAGCTGATTTGCAAATGCCAGTGAACAGCTGGAAAGATTCCCCATGGGGCCAACTGCACCAGTCTACTAGAAACTTCTAGCAGCCTGCAGTGGAAGCGCTGAAAGCTCTTGGAGATTCCTACCAGTACTGGGTGGAGAATGGTCACCAAACAAGGACAACAACCCCTGTGTTGGGCTTAATTCACGGAGACTGGCTGAGGTGCCTCAGAGACATGCACCTGGCTCACAGTGCCACTAACATCAGCTCTTCCCATTGAAGAATCGGGTGCCTGGGCTGCCTAGGGGCCAGCCCATAATCCAGCACTCTGGGAGGCTGAGGCAGGAAGGTCTCAAATTGGAGTCCAACCTGAGAAACTTATGGAGACCTTGTCTCTCTTTTTTTTTTTTTTTTTTTTGAGACAGGGTCTCGCTATGCAGTTCAGGCTGGCCTTGAGCTCACTTTGTAGCCCTAGCTGGTCTCAAACTTGCAACAATCCTCCCGCCTCAACCTCTCCCGAGTGCTGAGATGACAGGTGTGCTCCACCATGCCCGATTGGAGACCTTGTCTCTAAATAAAAAAAGGCTAGAGATGTAGCTCAGTGGCAGATTGCCCCTGGGTTCAAAACAACGAAACTTTTAGAGTTTTTGTTACATTTGAAACTATAGAATTTCCCAGCAGAGAGATTAGCAGGACCCTCTTTGTCCTCAGTCTCCCCACCTCTCAGCCTCCCCTGGGATGAACAGTGATAAACTGGATGAGCGACCCTTTGACAGATTCACAGTCAGTTTTCAGCAAACTGTCCCAGGGCCAAGCCCACAGCCAGTAAACCACACAGCTTGGGTTCAAACCCTGGCCACCTCATTCCCGAGCCCGCAGCCTTCCACTCCCGCCCCCAAGCTGTGCAGAAACCTGGGCGGCAGAAGGAGGGGCACCTCACCGAAGTCTCCATGCAAAGGCAGAGAGGCTGGGCGGCGGGCGGCGTGGAGAACTTCCGTATGCATGGCAGCTCTCGGTCCAGAGCCTCGTATTCTGCAATGACCTGCTGTAGGTACTGCTTCCTGGGAGAGAGAGGCAGGGACCTCCCAGGTCAGGGGTTGCTGCTGTCACATCTGGGGGAGTGGAGGTCAGAAGTCATGGAGCCAGGGGCCACTCACGAGGGTTTGATGGGCCTGCCCAGGTTCCGAGCTGGAGTCTCTTCTGCGATCTCCGTGTCCACCAGGAGGGCAGCTGAGGACAGAGAACCAACACCGGCTCCTCAGTATGCTTCCACTTGATTGGCCATCACCTAGCATTGTCCATGCCACCCTAGAGGAGCTCACTGGCCAGCTGTTGGGCTACTGTCCCCCAGCTGCAGACCCTACCCTTCTTCACTGTCTCCAAGCTGCTGGGACCAAGACCCTGCTGACCACATTTCTGCTTGGACAGTTGGGATCCTGTCAGGACCAGAGGGAGGCTTTGAGGCAGGAGGAAGCAAGGGACTTGCTCTTTTCTGTTCCTTTTTCCAATCACTCTGGCTGGCTTCTGCACAGCAGCAGTATCTCCTCCCTCCAGGTACCACATCTGGGTCCAACTGACAGGTTTTTTTTGTTTTGGTTTGGTTTTTTGTGGTTTTTTGTTTCTGTCTTTTTGAGACAGGGTCTCGCTATACAGTTCGGGCTGGCCTTGAGTTCACTTTGTAGCCCAGGCTGGTCTCAAACCTGCAATGATCCTCCTGCCTCAGCCTGTCGAGTGCTGGGATTACAGGCATGTGCCACCATACCCAGCTCAACTGACAGTTTTTTAAGCACTCTCAGACCCAGTCTCTTCATTGGAACTTGACTGAGGATAGTTCTCAAATGTAGTGCCTTTTTGGCTAACTGAACCATCCCATAAGGCCCACTGTAGTCATCCTATTGACCTATTTTTCCTTCCCCTTCAGTCCTAGCATTGTGTCCAGCCCACAACTGCCTGGCCTCCTTACAGCTCACACAGCTGCTCTGACTCCCTTGCAGCTAGATATGGCTTCATGAGCACACACTCACCAATGGAATACTAGCACAGCAAATGTGGGGTGCAACTTTGGGATCATTTGCTTAAAAGAAAAGTGCTTGTTGCTGGGTGTGGTGGCACACTCCTATAATCCCCAGTGCTCAGGAAGCTGAGGCACGGGGATTGCTGTGAGTTTGAGGTCAGCCTGGGCTACAAAGTGAGTTCAAGGCCAGCCTGAACTACATAGCGAAACCCTGTCACAAAAAGACAAAAAGGAAGAAGAAGGAGAAAGAGAAGGAGAAGGAGAAGAAGAAGGATAAGAAGAACAAGAAGAAGGTGATGATGAAAAAAGAAAAGTGCTTATCTTAGGGTTTTATGCCCCTTCCCTTGGCCTCGAGTGTGTAGTAGTAACCCACTATGTTTGAGCAACAATAGGGAAAGATCTGGGTGCCTGAATCCTCTCACAGGATCAAGGTATCCACAACCCAACCACCATGCTTGTGTCTGGGGGTCTTTTTATTACAGAGGCTGAGAAAAAAGCAGCCTTCAACAGCCAGGCCCTGATCCTCTCTTGTAGGGCACAAACACTTTCATCCACCACCACCACCACCAGGGAAGCCCACAGTGACGACAGTGCCCCAAGATGAGACCACTCCTGCATCTCTTCTCCACACAGACAAAAACACAAACGCCGTCCAAACCAGGAAGATGGCCATGCATCCCAAGCAGCGTGGAGAACTTCCGAGAGCCTGACTCAGACAGCCCCCCACCTGGCTCGGAGCCCTTTAACAAGCCACAGCGCGGGCTGCATTTGATTCCCCCTCAGTCCCCTTCTGCCATCTTCAGAACAAAGGCGCTTCCCCAGCCCCAGCCCCTGACCCGGCCCCCCTCCTGTGATACGTCCTTGCATGAATGCAGAACGCTGGGACTTCTGTGGGGACACTGCCCTCACTGTGGCTGTGGTCTGGCTGTCAGCTGTTCCGACAACCAGCTCAGGAAGTCCAGCATGCAGCTCCTGCGTGGCTCCAGGGTGTCAGCACAGCTCAGCCTGTGGCATGGTTGGGTCCCCTCCCTGCCCCCATTCTCCTTCCTCCTGCACTCATCCCAGGTGCTAGGTGTTCTCGCTATACCGTCCCTTCCCCAAACACACCAGCACCTTCTCACATCTGTCCCCTTAACAGTGATAATAACAACTCTCTGCTCACAGGGCTCGTCCACTTGGGAAGCACTTTTGAAAGCACTTTCCATTCCATCTTCAGGACAACCTACCAAGGCAGATAATCAAATGGATGCACAGAGAGGTTAAGTGACTCGCCCGAGGTCACACAGCCCCAGATGTTATGATCAAGATGAAAATGAAAGTATCAAGATCGGGGTGTGCATATTCTCAGTCTCCCGGGTCTGCTTCCTGTCACCCCACCACCCTTGCTAGACAACAGCCATGGAATTCCTCTCCCTGACCAGTCACTGTTGGGTGTACAAGATCCAGGGTCCTCCTGGTAGCCCACAAGAGCACACAGCTCAGACCTGCCGATGTCTTAAGCCCGACAGGGCACTATCATCCTTTATGCTGCTTTCATGTGACCTGAACTCTCTATGTCCCTCCTGCCACAGGGCCTTGGCACATGCTGTACCCCACAAGGGCCCCTCTTCTCCCTCACTCAGCAGATCACACTTCCCTGGGTGTCCACCAATGAGTTTCTCATGGGTCTGAGCACCATGCTCTGTTCTTGAGACAGCTGCAGTTCTCCCTTATTTCTTTACAACCTGTCTGTCCCACATCGAGGGAGCAGTGCAAGGATAGAGGCCTCGCTTTTGCTGCAGTCTCTAGCAAGTACTGGGTACGTGGTTGGTCGATGTAAGTACTTCTTGAATGAAACCTGAGGAGGCATAATTAAATGTATTGTGTGGGCCTTTGTTTGGGTCCTTTTTCAAACAAATTGTAAACAACACATTTCTGACTTAAGGAGGGGCTCTAAATATAGAGTAGGGATCAAATGATATTCAAGGGTAATTGTTGCTGTGGGCCTGGTAGCACACACTTGGAATCCCAACAGTCTGGGAGGCTGAGGCAGGAGAATCACAAGTTTGAGCCCAGCCTGAGCAATTTAGCAGCTTAGCAAGAATTTGTCCCAAAATTAAAAATAAAAAAGGGCTTCAGTTATAGCTCAGTCTAAAGGTTCTGGATTCAGTACTTAGTACTTAAAAAAAAAAGAAAAAGAAAAAGAATTATTCTTTTTGTTAGGTATAATACAAGAGCATGTATTTTTTAAAATCTTTAGTAATTAGAGACTTGTGCTGATATGTTTATGGGTAAAATGAAATTATATCTGCAGTTTTCTTTAAAACAAATTTGTCCTATAGAATGTCCCCCAAAAGTATGTATGTTGCTGTTGGCGGGGTGTCTGTGTGAAATAAGATTAGCAAAATATTGCTAGTTATTGAAGCAGTGAATGGCAGCTGGGCACTGTGGCATACGCCTGCAATCCCAGCACCATGGGAGGCTGAGGCAGAAAGATCACAAGCTTGAGAAGAGTCTGGCAATTTATATAAGTACCACTGCTAACCGATTACGCCACTGGAGCTTTGGGTCTGGCAATTTAGCAACTAGTGAGACTAAAAAGTAGAGAAGGGCTGAGATGTAGTTCAGCACCAAGCCTAATAAATAAGGAATAAGAGAGGTCTCTAAACTACAACAGCAATTGTAACACATTCCTTTAAAGGTCTATGTATAACTGAATTAATAAAAGTATTAACTTGAAAATAAGTACTTGTTGAGTAATTAAGAAAATGAAACAATGCCCATCTCTGTCAGCATCCCAGAGGCCTCCCCTGTGCCCTGGGGGATGCTGGGAACAAGAGCGGAATGGCGTTCTCCTGCCCTCCGCTCTGAGAACGCCCAGCAGTAGTGGGAGGGACGGTGCAATCAGGGAAGGCTTCCCAGAGGCAGCGGTGTCCACGGAGAGGCCTAAGTAATCAGCAGCAGTTAGCCAGAGAGAGAGACGACAGGAGGAAGGGGAGCTTGTATGGAGGGGTCCGCGTGAGCCAAGGTCAAGACAACAGGTCACCATGACTGGGTCACCGGCAGGGACTTCCTAGAATTCTCTTCAACGCTGGACAGGAGAGCATTTACGGACATTGTGTTATGAATTATTTGTGAGACGGCTGCATGTTCCCTCCCTGCCCTAAAACGGGCTCCTTCCTTGTCCATTAGCAGCTCACAAGCTCTCTCATGGCCTCCGCCAAAGTTTCCAACCAGACAAACTAAAAATGTGGTCAGTTCCGAAACGCCACAAAGAAAACAGCAAACCTGAAATGAAGAAACATCGGCTCATGCAGCCCTCCTTGCCACATTTTTTGGAGTGTACATAGAGTACACTTACCGTGTGGGTGTTTCAGTCAGGTTAGTCTGGTCTGGAAATTGAACCTAGGACCTTCGTACTGAGCTACATCCCCAACCCCTTTTATTTTCTATTTTGAGACTGTTGCCCAGGCTGGGCTTGAACATGCAATCCTCCTGCCTCAGCCTCCCAGAGTGCTCAGATTACAGGCCTGTGCCACTATGCCCAGCTACCTTCCAACTCTTCCTGCATCAGAATCACCTGGCAAACATTCAAAAAATGCAGATGACCCCTGACTAAAATAATTATAATTCCATTCATTTTGCCAGGTAGAGGTGGGTGGGTGAGTCAGTGCTGGCCAGTCACATGTGAGGAGACACCACTTGGGAGCTTTAACAGTGAAGATCGCTCGAGGTGATGCCTGGAGCTGTGGCAGACATCTTGTGATCAAGAGGTAAGCAAGGTGGCATGCAAAGATGACATATCCCAAACCAAAAGGCCAGGAGATGTAAAGAAACTGAGTCCTAACGGCATCACTGAACTACTGGCTCAGCCAAACCCAGGCCCCACACCCTACACATGCATACTGCTGGGCTTCTTTTTGGATGAGACAATGCCACTTCTACTCTTTACCCAAAGTTCAATTGCCTGTTAACTGCAGTCACTTGTGTTCCCACTGAGAATGCTGAGTGCATGAGGAGGCTGCCCTAAAGCACAAAGCACAAACAGAGTACTGTGGCCCAGGCCCAGGCCCCACAGGGCCTCAAAGGAAGGTCTGTGAATCGGGACAGCCAGAGTCAGTGCTGAAGGCCAGGGAAAAGGTGAAGAGAGAAGAAGATCCAAGCCAGGGCTGTGGGCACAGAGAGAAAGGAGCAGGCAGAGGGCGTCCCACGTAGGTAGGCTGCTGAGCTGGGACAGGGAAAGTGGTGGTGGGCAGAGGGATGGCATGTGGGGCTCAGCTCAGGGACTGGGTGATGGGATGATGTGGATCATCTGGAAACTGAAAACCAGAGAGGAAGGGACGGGAGGATGCTGAACTCAAGGTGGAAGACAAAGACAGGGAAGGTGTCTAGAAGAAAAATGGCCTCACAGTTGCTAAGGACCCAGAGGCTCACGGGAAATGTAGTTCTGGGCCCAGAGTATTGGCCAGGTAACTACAGAGGCTCATGGGAAATGTAGTTTGAGGTCCAAGGGGCCGTTGTCCAGCAATCTGGCGAATGTAGGGGTGAGGAAAGGGTCTCACTTTGGAGTACCAGGGACCCACCAGGCCAAGGCTCCCACTCAGTGCGCGGATGAAGGAGATCTGTCCCCACCCTCACCCCGCTCAGTACCTGCCTCCCTGTGCACGCTGGGGTTGCCCAGGCTGGGGGAGCCCAGGGGCTCCACGTCAGGCTGCATGCTGGGGAGGCGGGCGAGGGGTGTCTCAGGCGAGCGGGAAGAAAGGTTCTGGCTGGGCCACCCACCCCAGCTTCTCCTCCCAGATCCTCCTCTCCCTTCCTCTTTGACGCTCCAAGGGGGAAATACGGAAATGGAAGGCAGGGACCCTGTGGAGATCCGGGTCCCCCTAACCTTGAGGACCTCCTGGGCGCCCCAGTTCCCCGCTCCCCACCTCCCTTCTTCTTCCCGCATCTCCTCGGGCCTCCTCCGGGCCCCTTCCCGGTCCCTCTCTCTCCGCCCCTCTCCCCTAGTCTCGCTGCTGCTCCCGCCCTCCTGCCCTCCTGCAGTCTCTCGCCAGCTCTCGTCTCTTTCGCCTGACTCCTCAGTCCTCTGCTCCCTCGCTTCTCTCCTTCCTCTCTCCATCTTCCTAGCCCCTGCCTCAGTTTCCCCCGCCCCTCCCTCCCTTCATACTCTGTGGCCTCTCTCAAACCCTAGCACCCCCTGGGTGTCCCCGCCTCTCTGCGCCCTCTTCCCAGTCCCTGCCTCCGTGGCCCTTCTCCCATAGCCGCCCCTGCCTCCGCTCGCCTCTCTGCCCCTGAGCTCCTCACTTGCCCTCCTCAGCCCTGTCTCAGGCGGGAAGTGGCCAGGCAGGGGGATTCTCAACAGACAGCGGGTTCTCTGCGGGGGAGGGGAAGGAGTGCGGGGCCTGTTGCCATGGCGACTGTGGGGGGCGGGGAGCAGGGAACTGGGGGCCTAGACCCCTGAGCTCCAGACTCCTGGCGTTGAGGGGTTTGGGGCCAGTGGAGGGGTTTGGTGTAGGTGACCCCAGGCTCCCCTTCGCAGCAGGACAGTGGGAGAGGAGGCCGGACTACATTTTAGCTTTCCCTCCGTCCTGTCTCGGTCTCTATAGTTGCAGCTAACAATATTAACACTGATTTTTTTTCCTCCCCAGTATTTGGGGATTGAACCCAGGGCCTTCACACTGAGCTACACCCCCCCTCTCTTTTTATTTTTTAAATTTTGAGGCAGGATCTCTCTCTAAATTGCCCAGGCTGGCCTTGAACTGCTTCAGCCTCCAGAGTGTGAGGATGGCAGGCGAGTGCCACAGTGGCTGGCATCTGAAGCCCAGGTTGATTCTTAAGTTCAGCCCTGCATCAGTCGTTAAGGAAATCAAGTGAAGTCTCTGGGCTGGTCGGAGCGGAGGTTGGAGCTACGGGGGGCCACCATGTAGGTGGTGTCACCATGTAGGGATGGAACTTGCCTGGGAGTCAAGACAACCGGAGGGAAGCTGAGCCTGAGGATGAGGCAGTCGGATTCCTGGTGATGACAGGGACAGCTGGATCCAGCAGTGCCTGAAGCCCTCATCTGCCAATACTTGGGTTGGTTTGACCTGCATTTCTGTCATTAGCAATGAAAATAGTCCAGACTGGGTCTCACTGAGGTGCGGCTGGGACTCACTCCCTGCATGTTAATGTCTGTTTCTCTCCCATTCAACTGCCCTCCTCCATCTCCGACTGCCAGTTCTCCCTCTAGGACTGGGACCCTCTCCTCCCTCAGGGCCCATTAGCTCCAGTTCTGCCCTCCTGCTGCTCCTCCCTCCCCCTCCCCCTGGATCCTGGGCCCAGCCCCCTTCCCCGAAGGCAGGCAGGGAAGGCCAGGTGCTGCAGAGAGACCCCTCTGCACCCGGCACTGGCCCTGCCCCTCCTCAGCCGCCCAGGGCCCCAACAACCTGGGAGCGCTTCACCCTCGCGTCCAGATCTGCACAACCCAGTGCCACCTCCTCTCCTCCTCATTCTGCAGCACCCCGGGAATTTTTTCCTTAAACTGGCACCTCCACATCCCACCCCATCCCCCTGCCTCTGGCCCACCCCTTCTCCCAACCTCCCCCTTTCCCGTCTCAAAGGCCCGCACCTGTCTACCTATCTATCAATCTATCTGTTCTTGAGACGAGCTCTCACTAAGTCACTTGCCCAGACTGGGCTCAAACGTGCAGTCACCCTGCCTCAGCCTCGCAGAGTGTCTCTCTCTCTCTCTCTCTCTCCCTCTCTCCCTCCCTCTCTCTCTCTCTCTCTCTCTCTCTCTCTCTCTCTCTCTCTCTCTCTCTCTCTCCCTCTCTCCCTCTCTCCCTCTCTCTCTCTCTCTCTCTCTCTCCCTCTCTCCCTCTCTCCCTCTCTCTCTCTCTCTCTCTCTCCTTCTCTCCCCATCACTCTGTCTCACTCTCTCTGCCCAGCCCCTCCTGCTCCCCTCTGCCACCCACCCTATCCCTCCCGGGCCATCCCTGTCCCACTTGCTGGCCTGGTGCCCAGCCTGGGACACCATCCCTGAATCAGCATTTTCCTCCAGTTCCAGAAATGATGTCAGCGCTGCGGCGGTGCAGCGCCGGTACTGTAGTGGCCCTGGCTGGGGGTCCACCTTCCGCGCTGTGCACAGGCCCTGCCCCGCACGGCTGACCTCTCTTCTCAGTGTGTCCTCTCCACGGGGATCACCAGCAGAGGTGAATCTGTATGTGTGTACATGCCTCCATTTATCTCCAGGCATGTGTGTGTGAATCAGTAGGATTTGTGAACACCCACCCACCCCTTCATTTACCCTTGCAACGTCTGTCCATCCATCTCATCGTCCATTTGCCATCCAACCATCCACTCGTTCATCCATCCTCCCCCCAAGATCCATCCGTCTATCCATCCCTCCTTCCCAACACCCATCCATCCACCTCCCACCCAATCATCCGTCAATCCATCATCCACCTGTCCCTCCGTCCACCCATCCAGTCATCTCTTCCTTTATCCCTCCAGCATCCGCCCGTCCACCCGTCCAACCGTGGGTACATCCATGCACCCACTCACTTTTCCACGTATCCAACCCTCGATCACGTGTTCATTGGTTTGTTCAGCCAGCCAGTTCCGAGCGGCACCGACCACATGCCGGGAACTGGGCTGGGCCGTAGTGACACAGTAATGACCAGAGCAAGTGGTACTCCTGTGACACTGCGTGCCAGGCGGCCCCCACGTGCCAAGTCCCTCCTGTTCCCAGGCCTCACATGGGCTGCTGCTCCTTGAAGCGTTTGCCCCTTTCTCTGCCATCTTTCCGTGGCCTACGCCCATTCTCCACTCAGCTCAGCTCTCGTCCTTTGCTCAGGGAAGATTCCGCCCCGGGCTTCCTCCTCAGACACACAGCACCCGGACTCATCTTCCTGGCGTGGCTCCTAGCATGAGGCTCCAAGCATGCGTTGTTCTTTGGGTCTCAGGTCTCCTCCGCTAGACCAGGAGCTCCCTTAAGGCTAGGGTTTTGTTTGTTTGTTCCCAGTCAACGCTCTGGTACCTAAAAAAGCATCCAACACACAGTAAGTGCTCAGAAAGCCTCTATCAGATGACTGCGAGGAATCCACATGGTGGCCTCTCTCTCTACCATCCTTCACTCAGGGGCAATGACATTCAAGGTCATCAAGGTGCCGGCATATAAAGTAGTGGCTAAAGTAGGAAGGGATCTAGATTCAGACAGACACACTCAACTGTTGGCACTTTCTGGTTGTGCGATCCCGGGCGGGGTGGCTGGCCTCTCTGAGCCTCAGTTTCCTCACTTGTCACATGTAGTTAAAAGTTAAGTGAGCGAATATATGTTAATTATGAGTGATGACAGCGCTCAGCACTGACCAGTGCTCTAAGCACTTCCCAGCACTTCCCATGCACCCTCAGACTAACTCAGTGAGACAGAATCTGATTTTTGTTTTGTTTTGTTTTGTTTTGTTTTCTGATACCGGGAATTGAACTCACGACCTTGCACTTGCCAGGCAGGTGCTGTGCCGCTGAGCTAAATCCCCAGCCCCACAGAATCTGATTTGTAAATCATTCTCCTCATTGACAGGGAGGGACACTGAGGCTTGGGGAGCATCAGTGATCCTGCCCAGGTAACATGGGAAAGGACAGCAGAGCTGGGACTCGAACCCTGCTGTCCTGTGCCCAGAGTCACACAGACAACCCAGGGGCCTGGGCAGCCTCAGACTCAAAATGTATACAGAGCTAGGCATGGTGGCGCTTCCCTGTAACCCCAACACTCGGGAGGCTGAGGCAGGAGGATCACTGTGAGTTCGAGGCCAGCCTGGGCTACAAAGTGAGCTCAAGGCAGGCTGAACTATGTAGTGAAACCCTGTCTCAAAAAGAGAAAAAAAATGTATACAGAGGCAACCAGGTGTACTGGCACACATCTGTCACCCCAGCACTCTGGGAGGCTGAGGCAGGAGGATTCCAAGTTTGTGCTCAGCCTTGGGAATACAGCAAGACCTTGTCCCCCTTGCCCCCCAAAACAGGCTGCGGATGTTTTGGATTCAAATTCGTGGTTCAGGGATGCAACAGTGGGGTGTCTGCAGAGGCCGCAGTGAGGGAAGGCAATTTAGTTAGAGTGAGGGCCCAAGAGACTCCTCTCCAGACTCTCTGCAGAAGAAGCAATCAATTTTTCACTCAGATCAGATTTATTTGATCATCAATGATGGAGGGCAGCACCCAGGGAGACTGAGGGGGCCTCCAGGCCACCTCTCTAGGCTTCCGTGTGGCTGTGTAGATCTGGTCCTTCCCCAAGGGTTTTAACTACCACGAACCTCAATTATTTCCTCTGTGAAATGGGAATAACAATTGTACCGGGCCCAAGTGAAGATGAAAAGAGAAAATGGCTTCAAAACACTTAGCACATTGCCACTTATCATCTTAAGTGACAGCCATCATTAACTGCTATTAATATTCCTGAAGCGGTTGTTTTCCGCTTTAAGAAATATCCTTTAAGCACCTACTTGGTGCTAATGCTGTATCTACACCTACGGTTTCTTCAAATGCTCCATCCCTTAGGAAATCAGTTTACTGCCTCTGCTTTGCTGATGAGAAGCGGGCTCCAGGCAAGGTGCAGACCGAGGAGGATGGAGACCGGGTCCCCTCTGCCTCTTCCCCCAGCCTCCTCCGCCATCAGCCCTCAGAGCTGCGCAGGTGGGGGCGCTCCAAGGCCGGTCCTAGGGAAGAGGGGGCCGAGATCCTGGACTTCTAGGACAGAGACAGGGAGCAGGGTCTCGGTGCCAAGGTCTCTGCATCGCCTTGTGGACGCGCACTGGGTCTCTGACGCCTCCGTCCCGGGAAGCCTCGCTCCACGCTCGCTGCAGCCTCGCGATTTTGGCTTTCTGGCTGCGGGTTCGCAGGGGAGGGAGGGGGTGCAGGGGGCGGAGCTGCGG